GGATTTTTTAAATGGAGGAACATTCACTTACATGAACCCATGGCTGCAGTCTGAAGTAGAACAACACAGCTTCAGATTGGTCACCTCAGAGGGAACTAGGCCTTAGTTGCAACTCTATCAGATTTATAGCCCAAGTTAAGCCATAGTTATTCTATTTCCCCCCTAGTTCTTAAAAATGAAGGTGATATATATAAGAGGTCTTCTTCCCATTAGCCACCACTGACAACTGCAAGATAAGACTGGGGCAAAATTTAACTTGCAAATAGGTCACAGGATTTAACCCACAAGATACAAAGTCATCCTCTGTAGGAATAACGCAAATGCATTACATTTTACCAGTGAAAAAATGCACTGTATCAGTGTATTGGAAATAGCTATTTTATGCCCACTTACACTCACCTTTTAAAAGAAAAGCAGGCAAACCAAAGTGTATATTCTCAGATAAAATGTAAGAGGAAAAAACTTAAAAGGAATCTCTCTCTCTCTCTCTCTCTCTCTCTCCAGTTAAGTAGTATGTGACCATTAGGTAGTAACTGGTCTTTAAAGTAGTTAACATGAAAAACACAAATACCAATTAGTCATGCTTTTGGCCTTTTTACAAAACAAGGCTAGTGGGTTTTTTAAGTGAAAGAATGGCACACTTTCACTGAAGCTTTGTTCATGCCCACAGTGATAGCAGGACAGGAATGGTTCTTGCACTTCAGAACACTGCCACACGACAGCTCAGAGTTGTGCAGAAGACTGTCAAAGTCTGGAAAAATATATACTCCAAATCTTTATCTAGCTACTTTTATGAAAAAGATATTATAAGTTTCTGGGTTCTCTTTAGGAAGTCTGAATTGAAATTCTGTGGCCGGCATTGTGCATCTTGAAGCTGAAGCATGCGGGTGGTAATATCGACTGCCGCAGAATTAGGATTGAGTTAAATATATTGGTTTCCAATAGGCTCCAGTCCTGTAGCACATTAATTTGTAAAGAAACACATTTGAGTTCTTTGCAGTTACCATGCGTACCTCCCAGAACTTGGATTCAGTTCAAGAATTTGTGGGAAAGATACCATCTTCCCTGCTGACAATCCAAGTTGCTAGGAATATACAAGTATATATAGCCTAGTCCTCCAAGCCAAAGGAGATTTGGAACTTGTGTTTCTCAAATAGTTCCCCCTACTGCATGTCACAAACCACATTTAAAATTGATGGGGATCTCAAATATTTTTATGAGCATCCCTTTAGACTTATCAAGTTTTTTTTCTGTGGCATATCCTATGATTTTACTTCTGGTGAAAAAGTGTGTTGTATTTTGTGAAAGCTGCTGTACATTGTATGCATTTTGCCCTACCAGATGTCTTGTTGCTTGTTTCATAATAAAAAATCCCCTCACCCTTGTACTTAGCACTATTAAGCATCTATAAAAGCCCTTGATCTTTCTCCCCTTCTGCTGTTTCCCCTTCCTCCTAAAATCTTTCTGTCCTTGATAGAAAAAGGGTTCTGGACACTAACCAGTTTCTTTTAACTCACTCCAAGCACTTCTGAGATTGGTATACTTACACGTATTTCAACTCTGTTCAAATCACTTAACCATCAGGTCCTCCATAGCCACTAGCTTTTGAACATGTGATAACTTTTCAACTTAATAGCATCATGAAGAGATGAAGTATGATGTAGGGTATGTCCACAAATCTGAACGGTTAAACTTCAATTGTTAAATTTTACACAATTTAGACCAGAAACTGAGAGACCGTATTGGTCCTGAGACAGTTGGTAAAGAATATCCTCTCTTACATGTTTAAAATAAGAAAGTTGCAAAGCAGCTCATTTTTTATAACTTCTTGCAAAACAGCCCTTGACCTGCTGTGTAGGTTCAAGGATGGATATAGGATGAACAGGGTTAGCTGTGGTATCATGTAAACATTCATCTAGGTAACATCATTCTCCTGTACCTTAGTACTAGCTGGCTTTCATGTAGAGTTTGACCAATTGAGACTTAGTACAGTTAAATTCTGTGTTAGGCTGTCTGCATTTCTTTTGCAGGATTGAATCCTAGTGCACAAGACCAATGAATTTCTTATTTAAAATATATATATTGGGGTTTAGCAACAGGTCAGTAATAGCAAATGGAATAATACAGAATTCCAGTTTGGCAATCAGCCAGGATATATTTAATGTTTCAACAGAAAATGATGCTGAGGTTTGAACATCTGTAACCTGAAATGACAGCAATTGTCTCACTTTTCCCCTCTCCCAAGAAAAAAGTGTGATTTATGTGTGTGAGGGGGGTTATGTTGATCAATAATTCCCATGCTTAGCCATTTAGGCAAAATAATATCCTTATGTTGTTCTGAAGTTGTTTAGAAGCAGCTTAAGTGTTCTTTGCTTTATGGCTTGCATTAACTTATTTTTCTGCTTCCACTGGGGAACAAGGGAAATGCAGCTTCATTTTAGCAATGCTTTAGCGTGCCCTGCTCTTTAAGGTTTTATTCAGTGAACACACAAAAAAAGTGAGAGTATTTCTCCAGGGGTGAATCTCATTGAAGGATTTGAATGTAGTTCAGATTGGCAACAAGCTCTTTCTATGTTCTTTTATTACACGAACATCTCATTGCACAACACTGAGGCCTGGTACTTCAGAGCTAAAACTAGATTGTTCACTTCAACAGCAAAAGGCAGTGACCAGATCTTAGCTGTTTTCTTTGTTCTGAGTGCCATCTGATGTGAACACAGCTTGAGGTCTCTTCAGCCTTTTTTTTTTTTTTGTAAAGAATTCAGCTTATTTTAAAGTACTCAGCTTCTTTACATAGAGCAGTAACTTGCACCTTGAGCTGGGCTCATCCTGACTATACTCAGTCCCAGAAACTCAAAACAGATTTTCCATCTTTGCCTAAGAAAGAGGGAGACATTTTCCTGTTAGTTAGTACTGAAAAGTGCCAGGAAGAAATTACAAAGGTATGATACAGCACTGTAGCCTCTGCTCACTCAGCACTTGGCAATTGGTGAGAGAGAAAGCATTTGCTACTCAGAGTGCTACCACCTCCATGTGTAATTTCTTTAATGGATGTACAAAGCTTCCAGTAGTCACAGTTTGGAAAAGTTCCCAACAAAACCCTCTTTCTTCCCTTTCCATGGTATGTACATATCCAGACCTCTTTTGAATTCACAAAAGTGAATTCTTGAAACAGTGAACCCGCTTTTAATGCCTAGAATGTAATTTCCATTAAACAAACGTGTCCCAATCATTCACTTTTCAATCCTCATTCAGTCTTTCCCAGGGCCTTAATTCTGGCCCTGTTATCACCCCTATTTATATTGCCAGACAGCATGCTAATTTGGATGGAGGGGAGGGAGGGGGGACTGATTTTTTTTTTACCATCAAGTCACGTCTGACTTATAGTGACCCCTGGTGGCATTTTCAAGACGAGACATTCAGAGGTGGTTTGCCATTGCCTGCCTCTGTGTCCCAACCCTGGTATTCCTTGGTGGTTTCCCATGCAAATATGATCCACGGCTGAGCCTGCTTAGCTTCCAAGATCTGATGAGATCAGACTAGCCTGGGCTATCCAGTTCAGACCAGGACTGATCATACAACAGCTTTATCATTGGGCTACCCTGTAACAAAGAAAACAAATGCAAGCTGTCAAGGACGGGATGGACAGCTGCCAAGACCCAGGGCTTCTGGTAGGGTGTACTACTGCCCTCCCTTGCTTGAGTTCCACCACCCATACTCCTAGACACTCACAGTGCTAGTGCCACTGGAACAGCGTAGGTGGCTATGAGTATTGGCAGTGGGAGGGCTTGCCAGTTAGCAGGGGAAGGACACACAGGTAAGTGGGAGGTATAAGGATAGTTGGGGAAGAAAGAGGCTGTGAGAGGAGGGCCTGGAGGTAAGCAGAGAGAGGGCTGGGAACTCTCTCCCTGCCCCCCAAAAAACCTGGAACAGGCCCTGCAAGCTGTTGACGCTAACAAGTCATGCACAGTTTAGTTGAAGCCTTCAGATTACACAGAACTCCTTGCCACAAAAAGCAGGGAGATGAGGCACAGCGTATCCTGCATAATTGTTCAATCTGGCTCTGATCAATTTTCTGCAGCTCATTTTCAGAAAAGGCATTATTTAAGGAAAGGTCTTTTTTTTTGGTAAACAAATTTTTTTTTTATTTTTTTTCCATCATAGGAATACAACAATTAATCATTAAACCCTTATATAATATCTTTGTTTACCCTATGGTTATTACTCCTTCCCCCCTCCTGTGGCTTCCCGCAATGCATTCACCTCGTTTCCCCTCATATAGATTTCATCAGTTATTCACATCTTATTTCACATATCTAACTTCCAGATAACATCAAATTTCTTAATATTGTTCTAAACATAGTAAATTTTGTTTTACATCCCAGTTCTTTTCCAGATAAATTTTAAAGTCCTTCCATTCCTCAAAAAATTCTTCATCTTCTTTGTTATTTAATTTCTTTGTAATTTTGTCCATTTCTGCCATGAACAAAACTTTTTGTATCCAATCCTCAATCTCTGGTACTTTTTCTAGCTTCCAATATTGTGCATATATCATTCTTGCTGTCGTTATTAAGTACCAGAGTAAGGTTTTTTTTTGTCACATTAACTTCTTCCATCTGTAGTCCCAAAAGCAGAATTTCTGGTGCTTTTTTGAGAGAGCATTTTAGTATTTTCTGTATTTCACTGTGGACTTTTGTCCAAAAATCCACAGCTTTTTCACAAGTCCACCACATATGGTAAAATGAGCCTTCATGTTTCTTACACTTCCAACACTTATTGGACATATTTTGGTTCATATTTGCAATTTTTTTCGGAGTCATGTACCATCTATACATCATCTTTAAATGGTTCCTTCCCAATCAAATCCTCCTTCGCATTCCAGTACTAAGAAAACAGGAAGGGGAAATATTGTAAAAGCGGGAGCCAAGGAAGGATAAGATGACAGGAATGTGACTGGATTTTGGTGACTGGGTATGTTCCCTTTTTTTTTTTCCTACTAGGTGATCCATTGGAACTCACCCAAAAAGCTGCGAGTCAAGAACAAGCATGTGGAGTTCTTCCGCAACCTCTACCTGACATTCCTTGAGTATGACGGGAACTTGTTGAGGCGCGAACTCTTTGGCTGCCCCAGTGAGGCTGATGTCAACAGTGAAAACGTAAGTTTGGAAGAACATGGCTTAATGCTGAAGATTTGTTTTGACACAGCCCTACCCAACTTTGCCAGAGAGTTCTCTCTCTGATAAAAGATTGCAGATTCATCAGATCATATATTACCTTACCTTACCTATCATCTTTCAGAAGATTTCTCTTCCAGCTACTAGCCAGGAGATACTGTCCACTGTGCAGAAGGGATTGATTCCCACCCTATTTATCATACATATGAAACCAGTAGGAAAAGATCCTTCAGGAATTTGGAATTGGGCACCACCAATATGCAGATGATACCCAGCTCTATTTCTCAGATAGGTCTGTGGAAGTCCAGAACAAATGTATGGATATAATAATCAGGTAGCAAAGGACCCACAAACTGAAGTTCAGTCCAGACAAGGCTAAGCTGCTGTTGGTCAATGATAGAACCACTTAAGAGCTGAGGAGTCAGCTGGTCCGGGAGGGCACTGCAGTTTCCCAAAATGAACAGGTTTGTAGATCAGGTTGGTGCAGGATGCTGGCCTACAGTTGAAGGTTTTCTCCGTGGCACATAGCACTGTTTATCAGCTATGACCATTCCTTGAAAACTATGGTTTGACCACAGGAATCCAGCCTAGAGCATCCCTGACAAGTGTTTGTCCAGCTGCTGCTTAAAGACTGCCAGTGAGGGGGAGCTCACCACCTCCCTAGGCAGCTGATTCCACTGTGTCAGGCCCCTTAGGCAGGTCACACCACACAGGGAAGCCAGACAACTTTTGCCCCCAGTCCCATTACCAGGGAGGGGTTGATTAAATCTCGGCCACAACCCGAGTCTATTAGAGCTCGCACCCTTACATGGGTACCCAGCTCCGGGTTCTGGACAGTCACAGTCACAAAAAAGAGGGAGGGGTATCCGCTCACCGTTTTTGGTGCCCCGGGGGTCGGGACCTGCTGCTCCACGCCACTCACTGCAGGTCCTGCGCATTTCCCACCAGTTGATCCTCATCCTCACTTGATGAGTCTGGCTCCTCTTCTGGAACGCTAGCTTGCAGGGCCCTTTGGTTCTTTGGTCAAGATGCTGTTTTTCTCATAGGGGTGTCCGCCCGTCTTTTCTCTGGTGCCTTCTTCACGGACCCCTGGGTTCCCACTCCCAGGCAGGAGTCTGCAAAGTGGCCCACCAAGCTGCATTTCAGACATAGTCCTTGCTTCATTCATTGGTCTAGCACCCCCTCCTTTTTCGGTTGAGGAGTCTTGGGTTTTGGCGATGCCAGGATGGTCTTACCCACGGTGGTCACGTTATCTATCTTGATGGTCCTCAAGCGGGTCTCCGCATCTGCTGCCTCATGGATGAATGCTGTGCAGGACAATATCTCTGACTTTGGGGTGTAAGCCCAGTCAGTATTGCTCAGCCAGCACTTCATCGGGCCAACCTTGGATCTTGGCAGCTTGGCGTTTAAACTCCTCCATGTACACCCGAACCGACAGCTTGCCTTGTGTGAAGGTGCGTAGGAATGCTCTGGCATGCTCACCAACATTTGGGTCCTCGTACTGGGCCCTGAGAGCCCACATGAAAGCATCTACCAACAGGAGCTCCAGCCCGTTGGTGTTATGCAACCTCACGTACCAATCAGCTGCCTCGTCTCTCAGCCGGGATGCAATATAGTCCACCCAGTGCTCTACGTCCAGAAACAGGTGCCCCCAGTTCACAACAGACATCTGAGCACGAACCAGAAAAAAAAGGCAGTTTCTTGAGGATCCCATCGAACGTCGCCTCCAGGGGCTCCGTAGGTCGATGTACTTTCCGGCCAGGTTGTGCTGGCACCACATTCCCTGGAGATCCCCGGGGAGGGTTTCTCAGGGGGGCAGGCTGGACGTGCACCAATGCTGGAACTGGGCACACCGGCTATGCCGGTAATAGGTGCTGTACTTCCCTCTGCACCACCCCTGCTACCATCTCCAGTAGTTTCTTGAAGGACACTTTGTCAGGCTCCTTAGGCAGGTGACACTATACAGGGCTTCAGAAGAAGATAACTGTTTATTAGTGGTTCTAATACTAAAGAAAACGTGTACAGCTTGTGTCAGGAATAGCCGTCAGTATAAGGACCTCTGACTTATAGTGAAATCAAACATCCCCCCCCCCAATGAGCAAAAGCCAATTATTATACTTCGTGCGCGTGGGCGAAAGCAGGCGAGGAAGCGGGCAAAGCAAAAAGCCATTACTTTCCCAGACAAGTAAAAGGCAGCTGGAGACTACAAGGAGCCTGAGATAGTACACAGTAGCTGGACAGGGAAGAGCTGAGAACGAGGAGGAGGGCACCCCTCCACATTCCAGATCCATGACAGGGCTACCTGACACACTGTTGCACAGCTCTCACTGTAAAAATCTCCCCCCCCCTTAATTTAAACCTACAAGTGTGAGTCCTATCCTCTGCTGCCAACAGGAACAGCTCCCTGCCCTCCTCTAAGTGACAGCCCTTCAAATACTTGTGCAATCATGTCCCCCTTGAACCTCCTCTTCTCCAGACTTGGTCTCCAGGCCCCTGATCATCCTTGTCGCTCTCCTCTGCACCCAACTCCATTCTGTCTACATCCTTTTTTAAGTGAGGCCTCCAGAATTGCACACAATACTCCAGGTGCGGCCTGACCAATGCAGTGTACAGTGAGACCATGACATCTTGTGATTTGGATGTTATGCCTCTGTTGATACACCCCAAGATCATATTAGCCTTTTTTTGTCGCTGCATCACACTAGCTGCTCATATTTAACTTTTGGTCCACCCATACCTAAAGATCTTGTTCACACACTCTGCTGCCCAGACGTGCATCCCCCATCCAGTATGTGTGTTCTTCATTTTTGTTACCCAGATGTAGAAATCTGTACTTATCCTTGTTAAATTGCATCTTGTTCACATCCGCCCACTTTTCCAGCATGTTCAAATCTCATTGAATTCTATATCTATCTTCTGATGTGTTCGCCACTCCTCCCAGTTTGGTGTTATCGGCAAATTTAATGAGTAGCCCCTCTACACCCTCATCCAGATCATTTATATAAATACTGAAAAGTACCAGCCCCAGAACTGAGCCCTGTGGCACCCCGCTGGACACCTCCCTCCATTCAGATGAAATGCCATTGATGACTACTCTTTGAGTGCAGTTCTCCAACCAGTTCCCTATCCCCCTAACTATCCTAGAGTCCAGTCCACAGTCCTCTAGTTTACCCATCAGAACATCATGGGGAACCCATCAAAAGCTTCAGTGAAATACAGGTAAACAACATCAACAGCATTCTCTATTTTATGCGGGACTGGCTTTGAAAATTGTCCAGAAAATTCAATATGCAGCTGCCCCCTGTGCTAAAAGATCTGCGCTGGCTGTTCATTTGTTTTAAAGGACAATTCAGAATGCTGAATCTTTAAGACCCTAAACAGCTGGGAGCCAATGTACCTGAAGAACCATTTCATCTGATATTATCCAGCGTCCCTGTTAAGATCCTCTTCCCATGGCCAAGCTCCACTTCCTGTGCTTCCTGTGCTCCTGCCTTCAGAGTTCAGGTAGATGGTGACCAGAAAGGGCCTTTTCAGAGGTGGCACCTCACCTTTTGGTTGCACTCCCCCCTCAACTGATACCTGCTTTACTGACCTTGAGACACCAGGCCAAAAATTTTCTCTTTATCTAGGCTTTGAAGTGTTCTGTCTTTTTAAGTGTGTTTTAAAGGTCTACTTCTAGCCTGAAAGTAGTTATAAGGACAACATTTTAGGCTGTTTCACATTGTTTTTATGGCATTGTTTTAATCCTGATAGTTTTAAATTTTTTAAATGATTTCACTGTATTTGTCTTTACTTGGTGAGCCACCTTGAGCAGGTCTCTGGCCAGGAGGGAGAGGGAGAGAGACAGAGAGATGTGCGTGTATACACACATATACAATTTCAGAAAAAGTAAATGCATAGTAGATATAAGTATACTAAGAAAGAGTTTTCAATATTATCTAAGAGAAGGAATGAGCAGAGTGGGAAATGGATCAGACTTGTAAAGTGTTTTCCAGCCACAATAGGCTGTGATTTTGAAATGAGAAAGAGATGGAAGTTGCTAGACGCATTTTTGCAAGTAACATGTCTTAGTATTTTTGCATATATATTGCGAAGCATATAATGGGGTAGCATTTGAACGTGCAATTATTGTGTGAGATTGTGTGAAATTACAGGTAGTTTCCGTCAGTAATAGCTGTGTGCAGAGCTCTTCCTCCTTCCCTGTCCCTACGAAGCACGACAGCAGTGTTCAGAACAACTAGAAGAAAACTTGCAATTCAAATGTGTTGGATAAAGTGGTCCTTTTGAATTAAATGCAAGGCTATTTATATATAGGTGCATTATTTGTGTATGCAGTATCCATTTGTTTAAAATGTTGGAAGGAGGATTTCATACACGATACATTTTAAAGGGTGTCTCTGCAGTGTGGACAAAGGGAAAAAATTGGAACCATTGTCAGTATCAGCAACTAGGTAGGAAGAAGTTTGCAAAAAGGAGTGCAGATACCCCACAGTACATCCTTATCTACATAGCATGTTTGACTATACACGATGGCTTACAAAAATTGCTTATTGAAGGTCTTAACAGCCCCAAGAGGAAAACTAAACTGAAAACAGAACAACATGTGAGGAGCAACATGTAGTCAAAACCAGCATCTGTATGTCAGTTCCTTTCCTGTTGCACTCCATAAGATGTAGCACACATTTGTCATGTTGTCATAACACTGTGTGTTTCCCCACTAGTAGCAGCCAATGATGTGGAGCAGGGGCAGGAAAAACCCACAATTTCAGAATGTCACATCATAGGGAAAAAAAAAATTCTTTTCATCTAATTCAGTTTTGCTTGCCCTAGATTCCATAGGCACAAGGATGAAGAGTGATTTTCACTAATTCTTCCCTCCTGAGATAGCTCTGTCACCCCACCCAACCCACTACAAATGCTAGTCCTGGTGGACTGGGGAACTCCACAATTAGCTTAGGAAGGAATCTGAGGTCTTCCAGAGGTGGGGAGCTGGTTAAAATCACCCTCCTCCTTGCACCGAATCCCAAGCCAAGAGATGTGTTGAACTGGTGTGTAAAATGAATTGAGGACTGCGTAGAAGTAATCCACCCTAAACAGAAACTCTACTGGTAGTTATTTCCATTAACCAAGGAGGCCACATTCAATCGGTTCAGGAAGAAGGTTTCTCTTTACCCTAAATTATCCGTTTGGCAGTTCTACAAGGGGAGCGGTTAAATCCAGCACTTACTTTGGATGCTTTGCTGGCACAAAGTGCATTTCTCCATCTAAGATTCATGCCCCAGCTGTATTTTATTTATTTATTTATTAAATGTATACCCTGCCCTACCCCAAGAATGGGCTCAGGGCAGCTGTAGCATCCCCTTAGAAAGAAATAGACAGGGTGCATTTTTTTTCATGTCCTAGTAGCACTGAGACTGGGTTGCAGCCAGTGAGATTAGATTGTGCCATGGGGCTACCTACTTTGGGGGTGGGAGAAGTGCTTTGGAGGTCTGTTTCCAAGGCTTCCTGGTGTCTCATCTTTTTTTGACGCTTAGTAATCTAAGCAGGAAATTCCAGCTCTTTGAACGCAAAGGCGTTTAGTAGCACTATCAACTCTTATCACTGATACTGTGTTTTTGTATACTTGGATACCAGCACACCACTCTCTTTAGAATGTGAGACATGTCCTGCTTGATTAGACCAATGGTCAAACTGGTCTAGCATCTTTCTTTTCACAGTGACCAACCAGATGCCTCAGAGGACCCACAACAGAGTCAGAGAAGCCAAAGGACCACCCCCCCATCACTGCTCCTCATCATTCAGAGGTGCATTGCCTCTTAACACGTAGCCATCATGGCTAATAGACACTGATGCACCCAGTCTCTTTTTAAAGCCCTCTAAACTACACCCCTAAAAAAATTAAGTTTTAAACATTTCTGGGAGTACCAAACACAGAACGCCCTTCTAAGGCCTTTAGACGGGATGACAAAGGGGGGGAAAGTGGCACGCTTCCAAAGTAAACACAACTTACAGTCCTTCTGATCTCCAAATAAGTGCATGTACTTGGAGCGGAATAGATAATCAGCTACGTGGCTGGGAGACGTGGCATTAGCAGATGTAGTGGCTGCTGGGGAGGACGTTGTCAGTTTCCTCCAAACAGACTGCTGAGCTCTGGTGGTCCTGGGAGAAAAAAAATGTCATGTTGCATTTGCCCAGTGGGCCAGCCATCACCACACATAAAAAAGAGTAGACTGGGATTTAAGCAGCCCTACCTCTGATAGTTTGAAAGCTGGCTGAGCGGTGGCTTTCATTGTTTACAAGATCAATGGCTTGTGCCTGTCACTTGCAAT